CAGCAGATGGCTCTGGGGCCAGGTGTAAGGCTCCCCCCAGCGCAGGGTTCTCCCAAAGCCTGCAACTCCCCTTTTCTGCATCCCTCCCCACACCCCTCCTAACCACCCACCCACCCACGCTCAGCTATGCTTTCTCTTGCTTTCCAAATAGCCAAGCTAGAGGAATACAGACAACTGGGCACTGCAAAGAGTTTCTCGGGAAAACCAAACCAAAAGGAACAAGAAACACGATTCACAATGGCCAAAAGGGGGGAACTAAGTGTCCATCCGCCAACAAACAGATAAATGAAATTCGGTTGTTCCATACTGTGGAATATTGTTCACCCATAAAAAGAAGTAAAAATAATTAGTTTTCAAAAATAAAAATAAACAAAATAAACAATGATAGCGTTTGACTATAAAGACAACAGAAAGAAAAGGAATGAAGTCCTGATGCATGCTACACACGGATGCACCTAGAAAGCATGATGCCAAGTGAAAGGAGCCAGGCACAAAAGGCCGCATGTTGTGTGATTCCACTTCCATGAAATGCACAGAACAGGCAAATCCACAGGCAGAATGGTGATAAGTGGTTGCCAGGGAGGGGCTGCAGGGAGAGGGGAATGGGTCGCAATTGCTAATCAACGCTCCTGCTAATCAACACTCCAGCACCACTCCTGATTCGCTACGTGGTCAGGTTATCTCACCTCTCTGTGCGTCAGTTTCCTCATCTGTAAAACGGTGTGACTACTACCTACCTCATGGGGTGTTAAGAATAACACCCAGAAAGCACTTAGCACAGTGCCTGGTACATGGCAAAAACACAATGGCTGGTCACCTTGTGGGGGCGGTGGTTGCTGCCAAGGCTCAAGTCAACTGGAAGAATGGACAAGGAAGAGGACAAGCCAAGGCAGAAAGCTGATCAGAAGGCAGAGGTGGACAGGGGCAGGGATGTCTTCAGATCTGGGCACTTGCTGCCCCACATACCATGGATGCTAAGCTGAGAGGCAGGGACATGCGAGCCCAGCTGCAGTGTGGGAACCACCAGGCCCCGAGTGTATGCACATGGCTCAATTCCAAGCTCCAAGGGGACAGACATGGAGATGAGGGTCCTGATGACCCTCATGCCTGTGCTGGGGCCAATGTGGAAGGGAGAAAGGTCATGAGCCCAGCAGACCTGGCAGAGTGCTGGGGAGGGAAGAGGGCACTGGATCCAGGAACGAAGACTCCAACAGGTGGAGTGAATGGGTGGCCTGAGAAGGAGCAGGTGTTGCTCACCTGTTCGCACCTGGCAGGGCTGACCTTGGGGTCACAGCCCATCCCAGCACACGCTCTAAGAGGATTCCGGAGATTTGGGGCACCAACTCTAGACCTTTGATGATTCAAAACTCCCCAGATGGCCAGGCGAGGTGGCTCACGCCTGTAATCCCAGCACTTTGGGAGGCCAAGGTAGGAGGATTGCTTGAGCCGATAAGTTCGAGACCAGCCTGGGCAACATGGTGAAACCCCATCTCTATAAAAAAATGAAAAATTGGCCAGGTGCGTGCCTGTAGTCCCAGCTATGCAGGAGGCTGACGTGGGAGGAGGTCAACGCTACAGTGAGCCTAGGAGGTCAACGCTACAGTGAGCCATGATCACGTCACTGTACTCCAGCCTGGGTGACAGAGCAGGACTCTGTCTCAAAAAAAAAAAAAGGACTCCTTAGAAATTGCAAAATGGCAATCCCCACCCCTAATTCAATCCCAGAGTTCACAGAAGAAGAGAGCACCAGCCATGGGAGAAAGCATCAGATGC